GAGCGCGAGCTTGGGATGGTTATGCAAGACGACCTCGGCTGTTCGGCGCAGTCTTTGAAGGTGTCCAAAACTGCTAACAAATACGTTGGTCTCTTACAGAGGGCGTCCGTGCGGTTCGATCCCTCCAGCTTCTCCAAACGCTCATTGCGTATGTGAGGCCCCATGTGGAGGGCGGGGTTCAGGGCTGACAACCCTGGTTTAACCTTGACCTGGTTGCACTGGATACGGCCCAAAAGAAGAGCGAAGAAAATGTACAGGGAGTGCTCCACTGCCATATCATCTGCGACTGAAAAATTTAGGAGTGTACAGCGGAAGTTATCTCCGTCTACGGGGCAACCTCACTCTGACGTTCCAGATCTTGAAAAACCCCAGTAAAGCTTGGTGCTACCTCCTGAAATTAAGCCGCGACACGAACTTGAGGGGTCACCAGCTGAAACTGGCTAAAATATCGAGTCAGATGGAATGCCGCTGGAACTATTTTTTTCCTTCACCTTGAGGAACGGTGGAACGCTCTTTCGATTGTTGTCATTTCTGCGACCACGCTACCTGTTCTTAAAAACGACTCGACGATGCCCTACAACACCTGCATTAGCTTGTCTGATTGCTGTCCGCTTATTGACAACTAGATGCAGGTAAACATTGTGCTCTCCAACCCTCACGAAATCTGTCTTAACGAATATACATGCTTGTGTAAACGGATGCACATGTGTGTCGTCGAACATAACTCGAATTACAGTGAACGTAAACTTACGAATAACGCGGTGAGTCCACCAGTAGAACCCAAATTTGCCTACAATTTCTCTCACAATTCGAATTTTTACCACGATCATCTTGTGGGACCTGTTAAGCTACAGCCTTTTTAACCGAATGAAACCACTGTACCTTTGTTCCACAAGACTTGTAGCAATGTCCGTTCGAGGTTCTCTGCAGACAATTGGAGCGACCTTACGAAGGCCCTTTCAAGGTTCTGCAGCGTAAGGACCGCAACTTTAGGAACAACCGTCTCGGTACGCGAGAAGCCGTTACGATTGACCTTCTCAAGGTCGCACAAGGGGAGTCTGAGCTCAATGAAGACGCTTTCCCGTCTTCTGAAGACTCGGCCCTGCGTATGACTGAAGATTCACTCGCTTCCAACACCCCTGACCCAAAGCAGTACTATCCATTCAAGCCGCCAAATTCAGCTCCCCCCGCCTTCCATTGAACCAAGCGACACATATACAGCAATTCCTCTAACTTTGCGATCCGACTGGGTCGGACATCCTTAACTGACATCCAGCTGAAGGAGACCGTCGATTATCTATGTAAGTTTATCTAAAAACATAACATCCGACTGCAACCCACCTCAGAAAGGCTGCAGTAGATACTACTTTTGCGCACAAACAAGGCTCAAGTTTTCTTTCCAAGAGAAGGCATATCGACAGATAGACGGTGTTGCAACAAGCAACCCACTCGGCCCTTTGTTACGGATGTGTTCATGGACATGACCAAAGAGAGGGCAGATGATATCATAAAATCGGTGACTCTGTACAAGCTGTTTGGGGACGTTATACTGCTTATCATGGATTCCGAAGAGGATATTGTGCTTGCGACTAAGATACTAAACAGTATGCACTCGAAACTTGCAGTGACATGTGACATAGAGTGAAACAATTGTCTTCCATATCTAGACATATGGTTCACGCGGAGTATGGATGGTTTGATTAGGTCAGTCTTTCGAACAACAACATGGACAAGTCAATACTTTCAGTTTAAGTTTTTCCCCTATACCACAGAAAGGATCGCTCGTCCGGACGCTGTATTTTGGAACCCACATGAGTTGCACCCCGGACAGATCAGAAGCAGAGAAAGGTTTCCTATTCGAGACACTACAATCAAATGGTTAACCGGTGCAGTTTATAAAACGCATTCGCGACATGTCCAGGCGAGATAGTGTGTCAACTGTTCAAAGGAAGCCCAAATTTATCGGACTGACATTTAAAGTGATCATATTATGAAAAACACCACAAAGTGTATTCATGCTGCAGTGAATAGGGCGTGCAATGCGGCTGAACTACGGTTGCTCACTTCAACAAGACCACTGCTTATGTGTTCCATCAAGACACCGATAACGAGGCAGTGCATATCCCATGGCTTACTCAACTTCACCTGTAGTTGAGGAGACAGCTACATCGGGCGTGCTAACCGTAGTTCATGTGTCAGGATCAATGAGCCCATTCTTAAGTGGCTGTGCAGCCGGGTGGGTTCGCCGACGGCGGAACCAGTGGAATTGAGAAAGCGAGCTGCCTCGGCAATCACAGGGCAGTTGCTGAGCACCGGCCACCGAGTTAATCACGAGGAGTCATTCACCGTCCTTATGCACAACCAGCGGCCCCACATTCTCAAGCTATTAGAAGCCATCGTCATCGATCAGGAGCGGCCGCTGCTTTGTGTACAAAAACAGTTAACTGTGTATCTTAACCTACCGCGCTAGTGTGTGGTGTAACTACTGATCGCATATGCTCGCGTTTTGTATATCTGTGACTTCTGCATGATTTATGATTGAGAAGCTTACACGAGATGACTGAGTCATCTCACAGTTCACGTCTTCTGATTTTTCTGTTTGTGTTAGCAAAGCAAATTTAATCCAAGGATGTTTCAGTGGGAAGGGATCAGTTTCATAAAGTAATCACCAGCCCGAATTGGATCTGAATGGAAACACAGAGCGAAGGTGTTAACCAGGGTTTCGGCAAATTAGGGTACCGAAATTTGAAATGCTGCGGACTCAGAACGGAACGTGAAGTGAAAAAGCAATGGGGAATAAACCATTGTCGAGACCTTCTACCTGAACAGCTTTCAGTGCAGTAAAATAAACAAGTGATGTATGTTCTAAGCATAGGTTTATTGACTGTTTTTGTAATTGGCGTACGGAAGCTGTGAGTAGAAATTTTCTCCATCTTCATTCCCCTGCCCGGTCATGTCAACTATGTCTTCCTATCCCTTCGTGTAACATTACCTACAAACAAGTTCTAGTCCATGATCCCTACTATGTGTGTTACCTCGCAGTTCCGTGACTCCTGTTTGCGCCTACGTCATTGTTTCTCATGGAGTCTGATTGTCTGTTGACCCTTTGTTCTCCACCAATTATGGTTGTCTGTCCACTCCTTCAAATGCGTCTACCAGCGGTGACTTAGTTGGCAAACGCTCCAAACAGACTCATCTGATCCCACCTTAAGGCTACGTATCCCCGTTCCAATCAGCTGATCCACTCATCATATACTCTCACCTGTTCCATAAACACCCCGTGCACTTTAGTGCCGTCACTTTGTACCCAGATCGCTCTGAAGCCAAACTTACTGGTTAGTAGACTAAAACGTTAGTTATTGTGGCTGCTTTGAGTTAGTAAGCATTATGTATTTTGATATTCACTTATTCATTTGTAAAATGTATTATTGTTCCGTTGGTCCCGGTAGAAAAACTTCACCCGAACATCCCACGCGAAGGTTGTTGCTTATAGTGGCCACACTCGGAATCATTTGAGTATTATGGTGGTATAGGAGACTTGTCACGTCTTCCGACCCTAAGAGTGACATTCATTAATTAGGGGATAGTTACCAATGCACCCATCTTGCTAAAATAATCCGACATTTTGCATATCGACGTGTATGGTCGGCGTTCTGTCTGCTAGGATCGCATTGGTATGTCATAGTACCGAGGATCGGTCAGAAGAGCAAGCGTCATCAAAAGCAAAAGCGGCGAATTTCGGATGCTGACCACGCTGAATTGTGCCTGTGATAGTGCTGCTACCGCAAGTGCATCAGTAAGGTAGTAGAATATTTGCTCCACTGGGGACCATATGAAGCAACATACGCAGATGTATTGTTGAAACCATAGCTTGAAAATATTGAAAAATCTACGTTTCCACAAACGTCACACCAAACAATCTTATCAACTGACCTATTATTTTGTTGAGGTTGTCATCCCAGTAGTTCACACGCTACATAGCCCAGCCTAGTTCAGAAAAGCGCCAGACGCGTTTCGCCCTATTGTGGCTCGTCAGTGGTGCGCATTCCCTAGATCCTCTAAGGAGGATCGAACCCATGACCGCTAGAGGCAGATGCCAACTAGTCAGCAGCTTAAGCTACTGAGCCATGGGGGACGTTGGCTGGGCTACATTAGTTGCAAACTAACTGGGGTATAGCACCACCTATTTTCCGCTATCACTGCCAGGGATTAGCCTGTGAGGTGATGACGTCCTCTCACTAGACATTATATCCATAGCATTTGAAACTAGAAGAGGCTATTTAGTTTATATTTTATTAGCATTTTTATAATTATATTACTCGTGACCTATTATTGATAGACAGCGTGCTTGGTATTAGTTGAACGCTCGTCTATCACTTGTTCCTTACAACACATTTTAATATAGAGTAACACTCAATTCAGTCATTCCGGGTGCAAGGAACTCAACGTTGACGGTTCATCACTCCTCGTTGGTTAGCCTAGTAGACTAGCCACCAACTTTGTGAGTAAGTGCATCCTTGGATCAGCTTGCTTTCACAAAGCAGACTGATGTTTGCACTTATGGTAGTCCAATGGTCGAATGCTTTCGGCTTTCACGGCCATGCTGTGGCCAACGAAGAAGGCCGGTGGCTTAAGTGATTAGTTGAAACCAAGGAAACCCCAGGCCTCTTTAATTTTCCCTGAAGCGGAGAACCTCGCAATGTATTGCTGAGCAGACACTCTACGTACACCAATTGCAAAGGCCCCCACATAATGCCCAAAACATGAAGTTGTGAAGAACATAGTTTGCAACAAATGAGCTCTGGCGCTCCATGCCATCAGGTATTTTGAGAATATACTCACATTTGTAAGTGTAAAATGCTTAGTTACAGCTGTACAATGTGATGAGCAGGAGTTTTGTAGTTCGTGGACCATGGATTCTTCTCGTTCAACATTAATGTGTATCCATTCACTTACCAACCCATGCAAGCATAAACATGATTGCAGTCGACCGATTTTCATCAACCGTGCTTGTAGGAATGTGGGACGTATCGAATGGTGGGTTGAGAGTTTTGAGTTAATGATGGGTTTCGACCCCCGGTACTCAAGCATCTGGTTACTTTGGGCTTGTGAAGAAGGGATGGCGTATGCCCTTCTTGTTTCCCATTTAACCCAGACCTAACCGTTCGGCTTTCGCAAACTGGTGCCTTCTTGAATTGGGTGGACAGGTCTTTAATATAGAGCGACTTTTGCGATGGTACAATAGGAAGATGGTGGTTGGACATAACTAACACATTCCCTGTGGGGAAATTTTGCTGTCCGGAAAGGCTAGGTGCAGAGTCGTTGCAAGCTTTGCTTGAAACGTATAAAGACATAGAGCTCAATCGGTCTTCACAAAACGGTGTGGTACACGCTGACGCTGAAGAGTTTGGACTGTACCAGTTGCGATCTCGAGAGTATTGGACCGCCTGGCCGATTGGCACTTGCTGTTTACCTGACTGCATAGTCCGTGTTGACAGTTTATGCTGTCCGTTTTCAACAATGGTCACTTTCTTCTTATTGCTTCTGAGGTTACTTGACGGGAGTTCATTATTTCCAATCTGTTTCCCACGACTGGGACTTCGCAGAGTGGGTCCTAAGGCAACACATTTCACTGAGGTCGCGTGGATATGTGTTTGAACTGGTGCGTGAGTGGGGCGCGAAGGGTGACAATTACCTTGGACCGGTAAATGAACAGTAACTATTTTTGTCGATGAGCCCTGTGTTCTTGAAGTGGTTCTCGGTGGTATTGGTGGTGGGTTGCATGTGTTTTTTAAGAGGTTACTTTCTAGCGATGAATCATCGCAAGCACCCGAAGTAGATTGGATGGCTGTATTTGCCTCCCTGATCAAAGTAATTGGCGAAACAACTTCTTCATTGATGGCGTTATCAAGCAACGACTCATTCTTAGAGCTACTTTGAGACAAACTTTCGGTACTACTTGTAGATGGTTTAGTTGGCTTAACAACTGAAGGATGCAGGTGACTTCGGTAATTTTGAAGAACGGTCAGTGACGCCGGTGAGCTTGGTGGGGATCCTGTGGGATGAGGTTGCGTGGAATAGAAATACCTCTGATCCGGTGGTTTCATTTCAGGTCCCTTTCCTGTAAAATTTAATATACCCAGTGTACGTCGGTTTCTGGGGGACGTTGCGGGTCGCTGAGTTGGTGTGGGCCCTCGAATTCCTGGAGGTGTTGAATAGGCTTTGTTTTTATTGCATTGCTTTGTGTCAATATCTTCCCTCGCTAAGTATAGATTGGACTTGAAAACGGTAGGTTCACAAGTTGCTTTGGGAATTTTCGTGACATTTTTGCAGTTTTCATTTGAAACCACCGTTGTATACTTTTTATAAAGTTCCAAGCAAGGTTCATCATTATTGCCAGATTTGGCTGTGGCTACTGACGCAGCCTTTATCCTGGCTAGCTCACCCAGCGATTCTGCCCTAGGATCTTGTCGAGGTTCACCTCCCAAGGCGCCATGAACCAGAGGAATTTCAAAGAGCACTGCAGCGGACGACAGATGTGTTTGATCAAGGAACTCAACTTTCCTCGCAGTCAATGAGCCTGATACCGATGGTTGTATGTCATCTGTGTTGTCCGGAGTGTGGTCGTCGTTGGAGTACTGTGCTGGTGAAGATGCATTCAATAAGTCTGAGCTACTGCTAAACTCTGGTGTATTCAATTCGTTGCTCTTAGCAAATGTCCGGTTGATCGAAGACTACAAAAGAGAAGAGCGAAATAATTACTGATCACTTTCCTGAGGTGTGGTAAACGAATCATGTGCATTGTTGAACTGTGATGTAGTTAGCTTCTTTGAATACGGTGCATTCTTATTTGTAATAGACAAAATATTACAGATTCAGTAATGGATCAACAGACTGCTAGCTACTTCTATATGTTTAACATCCGGACCGCAGCGTTGATGGATGGTTAGTTCGTCCATATTACCAACTCCTGATACTAATAGTAGGACTTATATCCGCTGTGCTTAGCCTATGAGTATGACAGACTCTAATGTGGATTAGCAGTGCTCATGAATGAGCTCCTCTTTAATTTCCCTCTAGATAATACAATATGTAACGGTTAGTAGCAAGTGGGTCCGTCAGCAAGAGTTGCCGCTCTTGAACTTTTTGATATGTATGGAAAACCACGATGAACACAACCTTCTACTGAGGTAACTTATGCTCGTCGTATGTTCCAATCTGCCGCTGAACTGCTATCCACCATTGAAATCCATCCATCCCCTGTTTCTTCAGGTAATCGAACTATCGTAACCAAATGTTCGCTGTTGATCTGTGTTGAAGTACTCATTGTGTGTATGCATTAGCAGCAGGTGTCTCATTCGAGACGCGGTTTCTACTTGAAGTAAGCTCGGCTAGTTTGCTTACGGGGATTGCACCTAGCTCAGAATATTCCGACTTGTTTATTCCTAACCATTTTTAGCCACAGACAACCGCAATATGTAGGGTTAGTCCCCTCCGTTAATCTGTGGCTAGCCAATGGAAATTAATTAAATAGTGAGTTGTGGAGTACGCAGTTGCTTATATTTGTGAGTTTGGAGCGTCAAGGTATATTGACATGATGGATATTATGCGTTCATCGCACAAAAATCGTTTGCTCCACGAAAAGCTTTCTACTTTTTTACACTTGCCTGATATGGGTAGCAGAACGACGAGTCCAATCCACATCATTGTGAGTGCCGATTGAAGTAGTTATCTCGCCTAACCGCCGACAGCAATTGATACAACGGTAGCTGACTCATCTTTAACTTTGAAGTACCAGTAACGTTAATGAACCACAACAGACAATTTCATTGTGAATCACGAGTAACGCTGTGAGAAATCTTAGTTACCTTGGTTACAGAGAGCGTATGCAGATCAGACACGCGATCTGGTGACATTCGAAACCGCCCAGAGAGGGGTAGCTGAAAAGGTGCAGTGCTCCTTCCATCTGCTATACCAGCTGGAAAAAAGACCTTAGGATTGTACAGTGATGTGAATGGCTGCATACAGTGTGACCTCATCCTGCTCTGTTACATTTCAAAAACCCCATTAATGTTTATCTGTATCTCCTGAAGTTTATTTAAAACACCAAACTCGAGGACCAGAAGCTGAAGAAGGCTGCGCGATACAGCAGGTTAGAATGCAATCGGAATCTTTTCCTCTGGATTTGTCGACCATGCAACGTTCTTCCAACTTATATCGTTAGTGCTCCTATGTTATCCAATTCCGGAGAAGAACTCGACGATACCAATAACACTAGTTGACATGACCCACATTCATTAAGTAGCGACCAAACGAAAACAGACATTGTGCTCCTCGCAATCAGCCGACAATTCAGATATGTCGACCAGCTGTCCGGAAAAGCATCAGACGGCCGTTTCGCCCTATTGGGGCTCATCAGTGGTGCGCATCCTTCGGTCCTCTGCGGAGGATCGAACCCATGACCGCTAGTGGCTCTTGCCAACTAGCCCGCAGCTTATGCAACTTACCAAAATCCTTCCATTCATAAGTTATACCAATTCGTCCGCACGGATTCCACAAAATGCTGTCGATTCATAGCTGCCGTAACCGGGAAGTCCTGACGCCGGAAGGCCGACCGCTGTCATCTGCATGGCAGGTGCCTGCATGTCAGTGGAGGATGCTTCGGGCTATATCGCATTTAGCTAACAATTCATGATAGTCAGATACCGTCCTCCATGGCGCAGTTGCAAAAGCTGCGGGCTAGTTGGCAAGAGCCACTAGCAGTCATGGGTTCGATCCTCCGCAGAGGACCGAAGGATGGACACAACTGATGAGCCCCAATAGAGCGAAACGGCCGTCTGGTGCTTTTCCGGATAGCTGGTCGACATATCTGAATTGTCGGCTGATTGCGACGAACAAAAAGCTTACGAAAATCCTTCCATTCATAAGTAATTGTGCTCCTCGCTTGTGTAAGAAATAGGGGTAGGCAGCTCTACACGTGTGTTAAGCTGAATATTACAGTAAGTGTGTAAATGGTCGGTTTACCTATCTGGTCAATGTATTTCTCTAAAATAATACATTTCACAGGGACCATTCTACGGGACTTGTCAAGCACTGGTTTTCTGACCCACCTGATATCATTGTTTCATTGTCCTACTGTAGATACTGCGCGTATTTAAAACCGCTTCTGCAGCGTTTCCGGTAAATCAACTGACTACGGGTTAATTCAAATTTAACCGCTGTCCAAAATGAGACTGCGGGTCGCAATCCATCCACACAGCGGCGCTGCAATACCAATCCACAGCTATATGACATTTACTTCCAAATCTAGGACTGCTTTTGTCTCAAGCCGTCCCCAAATTCTACCGTATTCCCCTCACGGTGCGTTGCGCTTGGTCCCGTGAGCTGATCATCTGGATTTCAGCCATTGGTCTTATGGCCTTATGAGAAGGAAGCTTTTATTTTTTCTCGATGCAAAAATTGCCACGCTCATGGTGTCTGTTAAGCATCCAAGCACTGGGGTAACACAAATCAACCATTACTCATTCAGTAGCCACCAGATAATGCAGAACTGTAGCCCAAAAATTCAAAGTAATAAATATTCTATTTGCCTATATATCATAATTAATGTCTCCTACTTCACACCTAGGCATATACGGTGAATCGGAAACTGTGAGAGTTGCCCGATAACCTAGCCTTTAAATACTAGCTGAGCAGCTAGGCGTCTGTGGCCACGACAGATCACCTGCGCTATTGTGGCAATTAACATGCATGTAGTTTCAACTTGAGTGCGATTCTAATGCCACCCATCATCAATTATGGACCGGATGTGGAGCTCTTCAAAACGAGCATCGGCATTCCCCGATGTGTCTACACCACTCATTAATCTATACTAATACGTCAGGAACAACAATAGCGTTCATGCAGCTGATTGTACAGTTTAGATGAAACGTGTTTTCCTTGAATGGCCTTGCAACGATGACCACCTCAGGAAAGTCAGCACTAAACGAATAAGCGCCTCAACGAAAAAGGCATCCAACAAAGCGGATCAACATTTGCTCGTATCCACGAAACCAGTGCCGAAATGTTCAGTGAAGACACCGGTGTCGAAGCAGTGCACGTCCTATTGCCTACTTGCATTCCCAGGTAGCTCTGGAGACAGCTGTTTCGGGCGAACTGATTGAAATCTAGGTGTCCGAATCAATATACACATTCTAAATTCGCTCCGCAGACGGATGGGACATGAGAAGGTTGTACCCGGTGAATCGAAAAGTTGCCTCCGCAATCATGATGCCTTTGATGAACACCTGGCACTAGGTAAGCCCGGATGAGTCTTTCAAATTCCTCATGAGAACTCAAAGACTTCACATACTCAAGCTACTCGAGGACATTGTTATCCGTAGACATCGTCCAGCACTGTACCCAAAAACAGCGTGCAATGCACCAATCGGAATACACTTAGCCACCAATTGCTTTGATGTTACATTGTTTTGAAGTTTTGTTGGTTGCATGTACGTGGCCGACGAGTATGAAAGAAATGACAGTGTCATCCCCCAACCTTCGTCTTCTGATATTATTATTTGATAATTATACATCTCAGCTTTGCAGCCTTGAGAACCATTAGGTCACCAATCCCAAACGCATTATTGCCAGCGGATGCTCAGGCGGCAGAAACGTACTCGTCAGCAGTAGCATTTCGTTTGTGAGCAAACAAAATGCTACGAGAGAATTCCGGCAGCTTGCCGGTGGTTCATCTGATCTTCCTGCTTTCTGAGGTCGGCGTCTATACAAAATACTTGTAAAGCCTACATTATTAGTGGGACCAACTGTAAACTTGTCCCGCAGATGAACATGAATGAATGACGATACACGGTAGGATCAACACCGTACGCTCTTGTAAACACGCAGCGAACTCACTCACTTCGTTTGTTTCGAGGACACCAAAGCGTCTGCGATGAATGATGACTGGAGGTGGAGCGTTTATCCTGGCAGTATCCTGTTCTGGCTTAGGCAGCATCGATACATCTTCCATCGAATATTCTATCTCATTTTTGCTTGAGCACGGGGTTGCCTCAGCATTGCGGTGTGACTGTTGCAAAAAAAAGGTATGAACGAGTGCAAGCCAGCAACGAGGAATGAAAAGACAGTTACCCAGTGAAAGCCTTGTTGTTGCACCATACACTAAGTCAACATTCTTAATGACGTAAGTACAGACTGATTCTCTCATAGCCACACGAACACGGAATTCCTTGCATTGTTAGGAGTGAAATTGCCGAACCAAATTGATGTAGCCGCTTACACATATTGAGCTCAGCCGTGGACGCACAGGAACCATCATCATTATACAGGTTAGCTGCAGGTGGAAAACACCTCAGCTATTGTGCCGCAATATAAAAGACAAGAAGAAAAAGCAACAGAGACACGTCGGCTGAGTCCCCAGTAACGGATGGACTTCGTTCCGGAGAGCTACCGGCCGACTATCGTTCCGCAAAAAGAGAGTTATATTATGTCTAACGAATGAGATCGTGATGGAGGAGGAGTCTAGGCAGGAGGGGAATGGACAAAGGAACACGCAACACAAACGCCATTGAGGTCGGCTCCTAGCCAAATCAGCAAGCGTGCCCAAACAAACGTGTTCATCATCCTTAGGACCCCATCCAGGCAGTCGGGATACACCAACCAACGTCAACTTCCAAGTGAGGGTATTCATTTCTTCCGACCATCTCATCGCTTGGTCTCCCCTCCTTCACTTCCAACCGCACCCACGGTGCACAAACAGTGCACGTCGCGGTAGTCGATGTGCTTGCATGCGCAACACGTGGCCCAGCCATCGGAGCCTGGTGCGTGACATAATGGTACTGAGCGATCCACTAGCTTTTCTTGCACCAAATACTCGACGCCGAACACGCACATTGCTCACGCGGTGCTCCCACCAGACATGAGCTAAGCTGCGAAGGCAGCGATGATCGAATGTGACGAGCCTGTTTATGTCTGTCGACCTGATGGGCCAGGTTTCACAATCGTATAAGAAGGCTGAACGGATGGCTGCATTATAAACTCTGCTCTTCAGGACGAGGGTGATGTCGCGTCTTCGCCACAGGTGGCGACGATTAATAAAAACACCTCGAGCTTTTGCTATACGGTTCGTAATCTCAGTTTCGACCCCACGGGCGCTAATATAGCTACCCAGTTACTTGAATTCCTGAACGAATTCTAGCTAATCACGCTCAAGGGTCAACACAGGCATGGGTACTTTCCAATCTTGAAGGAGAACGTTGCATTTCGATGGAGCAAAGCATAGCTCAAAACGATTGACAGCCAGTGCTAATCGGTCCAGTGCAGCCTGACACGTTTGGGCGCTGTCAACTAGGAGGGCAATGTCGTCCGTATAATCCAAGTCAGGAAATCGCTTACCAGGAAGTAGCTGCACACCTTCTAGGTCATGTCCAGGGAACGCTGTTTCCATGACTTCATCAACAGCGAAGTTAAAGGGGAAAGCTGCCTGGGGCAACCTTGTCTCTCACCGCTGGTGATGCTGAAATGTGACGACAGTTTGCCATGGGCCCTCACTCCGCCCGAACTATGCGCGTACAGCGCTTTGATAAACTTTACCTATTTATCGGGCAAACCTTTCCACAGCAGACAGTCCCAAAGGGCACATCGATTCACCGAATCGAAGACACCTTAGATGTCGAGAAACACGACAACGGTGGGTCGCCAAAAAACATGGCAGTGCTCCAACAACTGACGTAACGGGAAGATGTGGTCGATGCAGCCTCGATTTCGACGAAACCCTGCTTGCTCTTCGCGGATCTAATCTTCACGAGCACCAGTACACCTGTGGAGAACGATAGAGGCAAACAATTGTGAGGCCATTGAGATCAGGCTGATCCCTCTAAGGCTGTTGAATTCCGAACGGGAGCTTCCTGTGATTATTATGGAGCGGTTGCAGTAGGTTGGGACAGTATCCTGCTACCAATGTTTTTTAGCGTCTCGGGTAAATCATCTATAAGAGCAGTTCCCTCGAATTTGTAGAGAGCTGGGGGAATTCTATCTGCACCAGCGGCCTTTTGCGATTTCAACAGTCTGATCTGACATTCGACTTGTGCGCGTGAGAGTGAATCTGAGATGACCCATAGAGAATGGCACTCAATGTCTAAAGAGAAAGCGATAACAGCCTTGCAAAGTGTTCGGCCCAACGCTCCGTGCGTTTTGACAAGCTGTGGATAGGCTGTCCACTCTCGTTACGTATGGTCCCGCTAACACTGAGTCACCTACTGCCTATTTAACATAGCAGACGGCATAACTTACAATGATTAGCAACGGCAGCGGCTGTTTCCATTTACGATGCGCGATGAAACCGTCAGGCTTCGCTGTCCCTCTTCAGGTTATCCCGCCGTACCATTGCAGTGGTAGGACTGCAAGTATTTTGAAAGAAGCAATACCTACTTAAAAATTGAGTGCCTAGCATTCTCACGACATATATGTACTGGAACAATTTCCTCTTCTTTCAAGTGTTTTCCAATTGTACTCCTCCTGCGCATGTAGTCTTTCGGTCATATAAACCATCATAATCTGCTAATGGAATATGACAAATCCCCATGTTCGGAAACCTATCTAATATTCGAGACTAATCCGTCGCAACGAGACTGGACCTTAACTTGGTGTGACTTTTTGCGTACCTCCTTGACCCATTGAGCTATAATGGGTCGTGCCTTCGGATCCCTTGAGAGTCAATCTTACAAGGTTGGTTAATGGATAGAGGTCAGACAAACTCAGTCTCCTGGTCCTCCAGGTTGGGATTTTGAAATGGGATGGCGTCTATTTCTGTAAGACTAAATCATTGCCAACTCGCCGCTGCCTTGCGGACAGGTTTTTGTATCAAAGGCTTTGGTTGAGAACCCCAATCGTTCTCCTGTCCAGGTCTGGGTGACTTAGCAGTATCTCAGCCCACATGCAACTATGAAACTTTCTCCAAACTCTAGCTACATACTGCATCGGCCGCCGCGCAGGCTATCAAGGGTCGCCTTATCTGCTGCATACAGCAGTGCGCACAAGTGAAAACATGCTATTGCTGGCGCTCCCTTCTTTCTTTTCCACCTCTTTCTCTTACTCTCATCCCAACTGCCAGTATTAAAATTCGTTCTATAATTCCCAGCTTAATTGATAGCAACCGAGGTGCTACTGGATTAGAATCATCTACAGCCCCTTTACCGTAACACCCACCGGAAGCCTTGTAGCAGCAACCACTTATAAGAACACACTGTCTCATTTCCCTGGTGGCGTTCAACTTTCGCACTTTAAGACAACTAGGTCAACAGCCTGCACTTGCGCGCGCGTTGGGCACACTGGGTATTGACGTGTGTTGTGTGTCCGAAACTAGGATCAATGACCCTAATGGGGTTGTTGGATTAACTGCGCCCGGCTTGTCCTCTCGCTATTACTTGCAGGCATACGGAGACGCTGTTGCAGCACTCAAGGGTCAAGCTGGGGTAGGTATCATTCTCAGCTGAAAGGCTGAGCTATTGTTGGTTGATTCAATTCCGGTGAACAGCCGTTTGTGTGCAGCCCGTTTGACGACATCAGCTAAGGTTGATTCACGAAGTAGCACTAGGCGCTTATGATACCACCGACTACAGGTATGATGGTGCCAACGACACATTCTATCAAGAGTTGAACGCGCTACTGCGCGGTGCTACTAGTTCATATATTATAGTACTCGCAGGGGATATGAAAGCACAAGATGGGTGTCCGTGCTCTTCAGAAGCTCAGCTGGGTGGTAATTGTGTGATTCACTCCGAACGGACTGACAACGGCGAGCATCTGCTGCCACTGTATGCGGAGCACCGGAAGTTTCTTAGTAGCGTTGTTTTCAGACACAGTGGGCGCCGAAGTGTCACTTGGCGTCCTCCTGTAGCTGGCCAGCGATTGACCCAAAGTAACCGCATAGCCATAAGTTACAGATAGCGTGGTTCCATCCTGGATTGTCATTAGTTCTGGAATATCTGCGTTGACACTGATCATGCCTTGGCACGCTGTCGTTTCTCCATGAACTTTACCGGGAGGCGCAAAACCGTCTCCTCCTATTGGTAACTGAGAAATTGTCTCAGCCCTCGGTCAGACAAGCCTACTTGGATTAACTACGTGCCGATCTATCGCTGTCTTGTCCTAATGATACTGAGCTTTAGGGGAATTGGATCACGGCTACCATGCAAGGCGCAGGAGCATCTGGTTTTGGCACTATCAATAATCACCGCACCACTCACTGGATATCCGAGAGGTCGGGGAACCTGTTGGCATTCAGAAGAAAACTCCCGACTGCATGTGCGCATGATGTGACCAGGTGGACTATTAGGCGCAAAATAAAGCTGAGCTTGCATGCTGACCAGGAAGTCTGGTGGACCAGTCTGGTTTAAGAAATTGAGGCGGCGGGAGCAGTAGGCAATTACCGCAAGTTCCTCCAGCTGATGTGCATCACTGGTTCCGGGAAATAAGGCGTCAGTGAAACAACCAGAGACAGCACGGATGCACTGACACATAATAAGGAGTACGTATGACTCGTTGGATGGAATACTTTCAAGATCAGTTCACTTGACCCCCTGTTCCCGGATCTCTTCCTACTCAAGTGATGCAAGACGAGCCATATCCGGTTAGTTTAGAGGCTCCATCGGAGGCGGAGGTCCGAAGCGCGAGCACAGCCTCCACTCCTTTTAAAGCTGCTGGCCCGGATTCCCTCCCACCTGCACTATTTAAGGATGGAGGTGAGGTCCTCTGCAAAGCACGGACCTCCCTATTCGAACATTGCTGAAATAGTATCCCAGCTAATTAATTTAGATCGATTAAAGTGCCTATATACTAGAAGGGTAGTTACACTGACTGTTCCAACCAAACGGTTGTTAGCCTAACTCCAGTTGTGACCAACTTACTTGCCTCGATTCTCATACGTCGCCTCAATGTGGAACGGGAATCTCGGATTAGGGAAAAGCAGGCTGGTTTCCAAACAAGACGTGGCTGTATAGACCATAACTTCATTCTCCTTTAGGTGCTAGAGCAGCTCCCCCCATATCGCAGACCGGCTATGGCTGTATT